GACGTTAGGAGGAGTCGCTTCCTACTGTACGTTATACTGTGGTATTGTAATACCTGTTGCACCAACTGTATCCAGCAATAAACTTGTACTAAGCGTACGGACGAAAGTTTGGTTTCCTCTGTCACCGGTACTACGCTTTGCCACAACTTTTAATTTTTTAGTTTAATTCCCGGACCGTGAGAAATATTTGTATAGCCTACATTTACTCGTTAGTTGGGTGTAATTTGTGGTTGTCTATGTGTGTGTCCATGGCACCCGCGACACAGGGTTTCCCTAATGCGGAGCAATGAGTGTGCGCCTTGGTTATTATTGTTTACAATATTTACACAGTAATCGTCTTCTCGTCGTATCGATAGCATACACTATAATGCTTGCCATCATGGTAACAGGATTTGCCAATCGGTGTAAGCCGATTGTTGCCCAGGGTGCCCCGGATGTACCAGAAAGGAATGGTACGTCGTGCGGGGAGGCTCCTGACGTGCATGCCACTAAATACGTAGTTATTGTTAGTACAGTAGGAAATGAAACTGTTTTTTTCGATGGCTTATATTTTTGCTTTCCACAAAAACTCACTTCAAAATATTGGTTAAATAAAATCATTCTTTACAACGTATGTAGTGTTAAATAAAACGTAATTTGCTTGCGATGCTTTATTTCTCGAGCCCGATTACAATGGAAAATGAGCGCATACAGAAAGATTCCGCGCTTATTTGTGACATTTCTTCCCGCCAAAAAAAGGAATAATTTTGCCGCTATTAGCTATGACCAACAATAATACTTATTATTATTATTATTTATTTGTTGAGCATTGGCTATAGAGCCATCAGCTTAAACAAGCAACAAAGGATTAAGAAACTCAAAACATATTTAAATTTAAAAATTAATTTATGAAAAAACTGTAACTACAAAAACCCGCCATTTTTTTTTCAAACAATAATACTAAAAGATGACAACACATGGCAGATTACAAGCAAAGGATATTGTTGCGATGCAGTCTATGACCTGCTATGGCATTAAGAAATAATAATTAGCAACACCGATTTATCATAGTCATCTGCAATTCAAATTTCTCAACAACAACAACAATTAATTGAATTAATTTATTTAGGGTGTAACAGATTGTATGTAACAGTTAACAAAAGTAATCATCATCATCATGTCAGCCGGAAGACGTCCACTGCTGAACATAGGCCTCCCCCAAAGTTTTCCAGACCAGTGCATTCATCGGTTACCCGCCGCACTTACCAGGTCATCCGTTCATCTAGTAGGGGGCGGTCCCATTGAACGCCTTCCGGTTCGTGGTCTGAATTTCCAAACTTTCTGCAACAAAGGTCAAGGGAAAGTCAGTTCTACGAGCTATGTGCCCTGCCCACTGCCACTTCAACGTGCTAATCCTTCGAGCTATATCGGTGACTTTCGTTCTTCTAGGAATTTCTTCATTTCGATTCGTTCATGAAGAGAAATGCCGAGCATTGCTCGCTCCACAGCTCGTTGAGCGACTTTGAGCTTTTTATCAGGCCCATAGTAAGTGACCACGTCTCAGAGCCGTAGGTCATCGTTGGCAACACGCACTATTCGAAGACTTTTGTCTTCAAGTACTGCGGTATTAGGGACGAGAAGACGTCCCGGAGCTTCCCGAAAGCTGCCCAACCGAGTCGGATTCGACGATTGACCTCTTTCTCGAAGTTGGCCCTGCCTAATTGGACTGTTTGTCCGAGGTAGACATGCTCGTCAACAACTTCGAGAGAAGTAATTGAAATGGATCACTTTTGTTAACTTCGAGTTAAGTTGTTGACTCGAAGCTAAGTTCTTAACTTAACTCGAAGTTATCAAAATTGATACATTTCAATTACCATTTCTTCGAGTACGATACAATGTACAGTGTAATGTAAAACGACCTGATCATGATTACAATCTAACAGTAGCGTAAATTGGAATAGAACATGCCTAACACTTATTGAAGAGACGATAGTACTGTTCGAATTGAAATTTTTCTCGTACTAATCCGATTCATTTTTCCTTAGATCGAGTGGCAGGAACACTAGCTTTATTTCAGAATTTATTTTATTACAAACGAAACTAGAGCCATTTGAAAAGTGTATATCGTACACTATTCTTGTTCTATTTAGCTCAGTTGATATAAAAAAATCATTGGCATATGTAAAGTACCTACCTATTCAATGCAACGGTTTCCTTGTAAAATTTCGAGGTAAGTTTGTGTTTTTTTCTATCGTGAAAATTTTTACGAATCGTGTTTACACACTGTATACTAATCAGTGTATATCATCAATTTTACTATATACTTTTTCCAAAGGGTTTGTTCAACACTTTCACTATTATGAGGAATCCACCAAAGCCATTTGAGGTTGTGTAGACTTTTAACGAATATTAACTTTTGCAACTATAGTGAAAAAATAGGGAGATTTGCATTAATATCAGCCGTGAACATGGGATCTGTATATGACCCGAAACGTCGGTTTCTTGGAAAAAACAAATACACGTGAGATTTAGATGCCAACAAAATAGTTTCATATTGATACGACAGTAGACAAGACCGTGTTGCACCTATTAACGACCATCCACCAAAAAAGACAAAAGTTCGAAATCTGATAATAAGTAAATTTCCCAAAAAAACATCGTACAGTACACATCAAGCTTGATGCTTTTGACCGTTCTCATTGCAAGCAGCACAGAATTAAATTTAAAGCAACAAGAAAAATGGCTAGACAACATAATCGTGGACCGTAATTGATAAAAAATAGTATATACGCGAAATCGTGGTGGATGACCCTAGGAGGCATATACACAGCTTTGGGTGAAGTCAGGCTGTAGATGAATTGACGAAAAAGCAAAATAAAAACAACTGTTCAATGTGCGAGTATGTGAGTTTGTATTTGTACTCGTTTTGATAATTGCTTTAGAGTAAAATTAGATGAACAGTCGATACAAATGTCAAGTTCATCTTGAATCTATTTATGTGTCCCACTATTGGGCACGGGTCTCCTTTCAGGCGAAGGCTTAGGCCATAGTCCGCCACGCTGACACAATGCGGTTTGGGGACCGCACACGTTTTCCGAGGGTTGTAAAGCTTCTTCGACGTGCAGATTTCATCACGATGTTTTTTGTCATTTCATATTAAATTGAATACCAAATATCGCACATAAACTTGGAGAAACTCAGAGGTTTGCACTATATTACCACAAAATGAAAATAATAGCAGCGATAAAATAATTTATTTCAATTTCTCATTACTGGTTCAATTTAAAAGTACTTTGTTAACTGAATTTTCTAATAAACATTAAATAAACTATTTTCATTTATGATAAGTCACAATTTTTAATTATTTTCCTCTTTACTTGTTTACTCTTGATGTGGATCAACATGTCAGTTTTGTTGTAGTAATTAGTGATTAACGGTGTTGGGGATACAATCATTAAATATTTATTGTAAAAAAATTGTCAT